AGGGCTTTGCTCAAATCGGATCAGCATGTTTAGCAAGGAGGCATATTTTTCCGTCCGACGTAGAAGTGGTGTCACTGCGACCAACGCGGTTGCCATGGCGACCGTGAAGAAAAGTATGTTAATCGCCTCCACCCTTGTAACTGGTTTTGTTGCCAAAGTGTAAAATCCAGTGACAACTATTGAAAATCCAGTTCCAACAGGGATATGTAGCAAATTTGGAGTAAGATAATTTCGCGAATTTCCCAAGTTTTGAGTCGTACTTGAGCAGATTGATGCCCAATCGTGATTGATACTGGAGATGAAGATTTATCAAGTTTAAGCCAAATTTGAAAAGCATTTTTTGAAAATTAAGAAGCTGATTTTGGCAAAAAAAAGTTAGCAACTTGTTGGTCTCAAATCTAAGAACCAATATTAAATTCAAACTCAATAATTGTAACTGAACAGCTTGAAATTTTCATTTCGTGTGTAAAATTTCTGTGTGGAGTCTTAAGGATTTCTGGGAAAACGAAGTCTGTAAGTTGCAAAAGTTGTCGAAGAAAATTCATATAAGCTGTTTTGCCATTTATTCCACGATTTTGCAAAATTTATAAACGATTCAAAAAAAAGAATTTGCGACGTGACCATGCAACCTTGTGATCTAGGGAGGATAATAGAATCGTATGGACTATTACTTTCTGCCAAGTATAAAATTAAATTGAAGGGAATAGCTAAGGCGAATTTTGGTATTTAAGCAAATAATAGTCAGCACTGTCGGTAACTATGCCTATTTATCTACTTTATGTAAATAAGGTAAGGTTACACATGGAGGTTTAAAGTTCATGGTTCCTGTTTTGTTGGTTTGCATATTTACACTGTTAGAAATCTGGAATATTCAGGCAGGTATTGATTTCTCGGTATTAAAGTTGCTTCCCCTCGGTACATATTAAAATTATACCGGTCAACAGAATCTGTTACCGATATGGCAAAACTTTAACAACAAAGTATTACTATACTATACAGTTTTACTCTCAATATCTGAGTCAATCGTGTATGACTACCGCTTGGTATTATTTTGATCCTGCATTTATAAGAGTGTAGATCATATGCTCCAAACCATTAAATACGAACTCAATTAATACACAATAATCGCATCGTCGTCTTCGCACAAAAACTAATTATCACCAATGGCGTTGAAATTTGGATGAAATTGCTGGCAAACTTAATTTTCAAAGGGGCCAACGCGATAGCTGTTTTCCTCCAAATTTGTTCCTCCTTGAACTCCAGCGACATCCTTTTCATTTTATTGATGCATTGGATCGATCTTTTATTCACGAGTCCGGCGAGCGTTCCCACGCCGAGGATGGCAATTGTTGCCTCGATTGTCATAAATATGCTGAGAAAGTCCAGAAGATGCGTGACACCGTCAGGAGTTGGAGACAACGTCAAGCTGGCCCCGAAAACGTTTACGCCCGTGAGGAAATACAACACGGCGGGTAAAACGATTGAGGCGAAACACAGATTTATTTGAGACGTCAAAACTTCTAGTGCTCGGAACGCTTTGATTATAGTGGGAATTTTTTCTACTTCTGGAGGTTCACTAAAATGGAATTTCAGTAAAAATGGTGTTATAATGTATTCGGGAAGAGGTGAGTCGGGTCAGTATTTTGACCCGACACGTCTAATTTCTGAACCTGATCAGCCAGACCCGGCGAATTTCTTCATAGACTAACCCGAACCCGATCGGGTTTAGCGCCGGTCGGGTTTAACCGGGTTGACCCGTGACCCGACTCACCTCTAATTCGCACCATAAATTTTGAAATAATTGAATTCAAATCACCTCAACAGGCCGTCCAAATATGCCGTCAAGCAGAGTATCGTTCCCAGAAATATGTTCCCGAGCAAGAAAACTGTCAATGATGATAGTACAATGATTCCCCAGGTTTGTACCGACCAGACCAACATGTGTAAAACAATGTTGCGAAGGTATCCTTGGGCAGATAAGTGTTGGCTGATAAGTGAGCCAAGAAATGGTGGCATGGTTGGAATACATATTGTGATAAGGTTGACACAATTTGGAGCTATAATTGAGAAACTTAGGGTCGAAATGTGGCAAAATCGTAATCCGAGGATGGACCTTCGCATGCAGGAATCTGTGAATAATTAGATTAATAATATATAATAGAATTCATGGAGTCTTAGAAATGTAAGGGCCCCCCATAAATTACGTAAAAATCCCGCCTTTCTGGATTCACCCTCCCTCTTTAACATGTGAAACATAGGCTCGATTTCACTGGAGGCCTAGACCCTTCCGCTCCCCCTTTAGCCTTACGTAATTTATCGACGGCCCAAAGGATTTAATAATGCCATGCGCCAGATGTGTACATGACTTGTACCAAAGCGGTATTGATAAGTAATTCTGTTTAGTAATAGCTATGTAGTATATTTAGGTTCACCATATACGTAATAAACTTTTATGGATCGGTATAATTTTAATACGAAGTGGTGGTAATCTTAATGCAGAGAAATCAATACTTACGTACCAGGTTTCTAACAGCGTGTGTACATATACTGGACTAATCACGACGGCATAGCTTACCAGGTTTTGTGAAATTTGGGAGATTTTGCAAAATATTTTTTTTAAACAACGAGACACTGAATTATTGCACTCGAACATCGGAAAGTTTAGGTAAACTAAATGTTTAAGAGACGTTGCCGTGAGGACGCTTATTAAAGTTTCATAAATTAATAAAATCCCTGATTTTATTCGAAATAAATATGCTTATTTATTAACACACCTGGAAAAATGTCTCCCGAACTTTGTTCAAATTGAATCAACATGTTAAGCAATGAAGCGTATTTTTCCGTCCCACGTAGAAAAGGTATTAACGCGACCAACGCGGTTGCCATAGCGACCGTGAAGAAAAGTATGGTAATTGCATCAACCCTGGTTTCCGCTGTGGTACCCAAAGTGTAAAATCCAGTAACAACCACTATAAATCCGGCTCCAACAGCGATTCCAAGTTTTGAGTTGATAGATAATTTTGCGAAGTTGCCTCTTTTCTCGTCGTAATTAAGGAGATTGGTGCCTAATAGAGATTGATACTGGACATGATAGTTTATCAAGTTTAAGCCAAATTTGAAAATCATTTCAAAAATCAAGATGCAGTTTTAACAAATAACTTAATACTGTCCAATTACATAAAACTAATATGAATTTCTGAATTTCTTTTGTTTTTTTTAAGATGAACAGAATACTTGTAAACATTGAAACGCAAAAACCTAGGGTAATTATTCACGTTTCTTTAAAACATCTGCAAAAACAAGGTCCGGTCGTTGTGAAAAAAAGCTTCGTATAAATTGTCTCGAAAAATTGTGCGTTGACAGACTTTCTAATCTCCTCCACGATTTGATAAAAACTGAAAAACAAAACGATTCAAAAAACTAAATTACGATGTGACCAGTCCGATCTGGTTTGTTTGAAGGAATATCGCTTTGGCAAAAAATTCGAAAGTTTCCAAAAAATTGCTGTGAGAATGTGACCATGCGATCTCATAGTTAGGATTGTGAAATAATGTATTGTGAAGTATCACTTTCTGAGGCTGTATATTTAGCTAAATTGAATTGGTAAGAAATACAGTGACGAGTTTCCGATACGTATGCAAACATATTTGCATAATGGTTGACCCTGTTCTTGCCTAAATAATTAAGGTAAGGTTATATCCGTTGGTGTTAACTACAGGCTCCCTATTTATTTTGTGGGTTTGAAATATATGTTGAAAATGCAAATATCCGCAAATTGTTTTTGGCTTGGGTATCGAAAATATTCTAGATCCAAACATGTACATATTTACGCAAATACGAATATTCCATGTTGCTAATTCAGTATGCATGTGCTTAACACAATGATAAATCTAAATGCATATCAAGGTGAGAATTATGGCTAGCTATACATATGCACATATATTTAGTGACTGATATTTTATAAGCAGAGTGGCATTGTAACACTCTGTAAGCCTGGTAAATACAAACTTATTTATGAATTGGTTACTACCAATTCTTTGAAATTTATTATAGCAAATTATTTAGTAAGCAATTTAAACCTTTTGTAAATAATAAAATTTCCAAGAACATACATTTGTATTTACTGCATGAATTAAGTTAAACATAAAACTGTTATTGAATACTTATGTAGATTGCTATCCATAAACGCACAGTGTAAAAATAAGGTTGCCCATTTGAAGAATAAACTTCAGTCTAGATTTAGTACAAGTGGAATCCAGAGCACATTTACTTTTAACATGATAACATTATTATGATTAAGAGTGTAAACACATCACTTTAGTCATTCTAAATTGCATGCGTGCATGTTCCATCCATGCAAACTGGAAAACATTTATGTGTGAATTTAGCGAAAACAAGCCATGTATTTACGTGAAAGGTATGTAAGTGGATATGCACTTAAATGTCCAATAGATGACAACCTTGATTTACACATTTTTCTACCCAGACAAAATTATTACCGTCACGTTCCTCTGCAACCACTAAAATCAAATATTGATCGACTAGCCAAACACATAGATCAGTATCAGACTAGATAAACGACACCCGTGCGAAAACCAGCAAAAAATCCATCGTCAATCAAACTCAAACCCATCTCGACACACATCCGGGTACAACATAGTTTCCGCTTAGACAGGACTTTCTCTCGGGCAAACTTTCCACAAAACTTGGCACGCTCAGCTACTGTGTCAGTCAGGATGCAATGGTGCAATGCAGTCTCCTCACTTTCCCCGCGGGGGGCCCAACACAAAGAACGTCGCAAAAAGCAAAAAATTCACTCATTAACGATAAGCCATCTTATCACACTACGTAACCAATTGTCCATTAAGTATCGCAAAAAAAATGGCACAAATCTGTCATAAAGTTGTGACATCCTACCCGCACAGCCCCCACCTTTGCATCTCTAAGCAAGATAACTTTCTCCCACACTTTCACTCACTTACTCACTCGGGCATTGATTTTCTTCCCAACAACAACTAGTTTTTTCGCTGCTGCTGCTTTGCTAAAATAAATTCGCAATTTTCGCTTCCTTCTTCTTTAATTAAAAGATTAATTAACTACTATTAAATAATTTCATATCGAAAATCCTATTTAAAGTTAGTAAAAAATGTATAACGATCCGGAATCCGGCGGCAGTGATTCTGGGATATCTGCGAAACCGAATGGGCGCACCATTACCCCCCAAATCGTGCCCCCTGCGCCCCTCATCGTATCCTGGAATCGGACCAATTCTTCCTCCGAACCCGACCCGGCCCCCCCGGCGCAACCCGGGTTTAAATGTCGGTGTAAAAGGTGCCTGAAAAATGTCGTTCTTCCCCCCGCCACGCCGCCCGATGGGGAAGGCGACCTCCTCAAATTGCTCACCATTTGCGAAAAGTTGTACCTAAATTGTGCCAGTGAGGGGGCATACTTGCAAATTTATAGTGGGGATGAGTCCTCCCCGAGTAACGTGGTTGTGACGGTGCAACGCATCTCAGGAATGGGGGGAGATTCCTCGCTGATTTTTATCGACCCGTGTGACCGCATTATTTTGAAGTCGGGACGGGATGGAAAGGTTAGAAAGGGGAAGAAGGGGGTGGTATACACTCTTAAAAACGACTTTGCCATTTTGAAAAGTAAATGTAGTTTGAATTCGGAATTTAGCAAAACTATGCTAAATCCCGAGTAAATTTTATTCTTTATCCATAGTTAACGTTACTATGGATTTAGTACAGTTTACTTAATTTAAAATTCATACGACATTTACTTTCCCAAAGGGCGAGATTATTTTTAAGAGCGCAGCACATGCGATATTTTTTTAAAACAGGAGGACTTGTAACCTAATTTTGGAATTGAAGCAATTTCATCGGCATCTGAGGACATTTTCTTGAAATATTTTTATTGCGAGCTAATTTTGGAATGTTTATATCGGGCGTACTCACCTCAAAATCTTATTTATTACAGCAAATCACTTATTAAAGTTGTAAACCTTAATAAATCAGGAGATCCGCAGTTTATGATTAAAAACAGTCTGGTTATCCTACTTTTATTCGAATTTATTCAAACGAATTTCTCGCAAATTTTTGGAGAAAATTTTATTGAACAAACACATTGTCTATTACTATGTACATAGATTTACGAAAAAATCCATACATTTCATGCAAAAGTTTTCTGTAAAATCTTGCAAACTTCGCAAGTTATATGGATCCGTTGATATACTCAACTTGGCGAAAAATATCGATGTGAGTTCCCCCAATATAAAGATGCTTTGGCTACAATGTTACTCATTTTATTGAGAAGTTGCATGTAAATTTATAAACCTTGTAAAATTCGTGAGCTGACAAATAATGGTTAAAACTAATTGGAAGATATATATTTTCGTGTGTCCAATTTAAATCTACGCTGAAAAATTTCTGAAAATTTAATTTAGTCTAAAAACATAAATAAATAAACCGTTACAACGCATGTAACCAAGGGGTGAAAGGACTGTCATACGTCAATGTGAATATCAAATTGTTCGAAAATTTGTTAAGATTGACACTTCTGACGTGTTTTCGACTTTTGTGTCTTATTTGTGTCAAATTTAACAGTTGATAACCCTTATGTGACCTTTATATGACCTCTGAGGTCAAAATGGAGATCACCATTGAATTCGGGGTTAAATTTCAGTTGAAATTGAAATAGATATGTCCTATGACCTTTACATGACCTCTGAGGTCAAAATGGAGGTCACCATTGACTTTGACATTGAAAAATAGTTAAAAATGACGTGTCACATGTCAAAACTGACAAGTGACACTTTTTCGTCACTTTTCGTCACTGTGACGATGTCATCGTCACAGGTGACGTCCAAACACAAAATGACATGAATTTTCGAATTCCTCATTGAAAAATAGTTAAAAATGATGTGTCACATGTCAAAACTGACAAGTGACACTTTTTCGTCACTTTTCGTCACTGTGACGACGTCATCGTCACAGGTGACGATGTCACAGTGTCCATCTTCGAACTCGTCCTGTCCATTGACATTAGGAGTTTACGTTCAAAATTTCAAGTGTCTATGTCTTTTCGTTCAAAAGTTATCGGAGCTACGGACAGACAGACGGACGGACGGACGGACGGACAGACAGACGGACATAACGATCTTATAAAGGGCTTTCACCCCTTAATTATACAGACATGTAACCACCAAAATGAAATGTTCCACTTTTTCAACCCCAGAAACTTGGGCTACCTAAAATTTCTAAGAAAATCTTTAAAAATTATCCGTTGAAATTTTACATGTAAAACCTCCAAACTTTCCAGGTAACCACTTTACGAATGGGCACTATAACTCTGGGCACCCTGAACGGCGCTCCAGGAGACTTGTGCTCATTCCAGAGGAACTTTTCCATCACGATGTTCCCGAAATCGGCGGACGTGGAACGGAAATGGAAACTTAAGGCGGTCGGCTGCTGTACAAAACTGTGTTGCTGCTCATTCTTCAATGCATTTTATTTGGACGAGTTCGTCATCCAGGCTTTCGACGAGGAAGGCGGTGTTACCGAGTTGGGCTGGATAAGACGCGGTGAAGGGAAAAATGACAGCCCGACGGTTCACTTTTCACCCGCTATTCGAGACACTGTGGACGTCAAGGGGGTCATTTTGGCCGCGTCGGTTACCGTGGTATGAATTTTTGTAGTAAGATTTTAGTTTTTTAGTTTTACGCTAAGTTTCCAATTTGTGTCAAATTATGGACGCGATTTGTAAACAAAACATGGCAAATTATTTTAAGGTGTATTAAATTTGTAGAATTTTAAGAATTCTTATACACCACCATTTTTAAACTTTATGAAATTGCGTACACTCTTAGAAATCCAGTATTAAAATAACACCAACTGGTATTCATGTATGACTCTGCTAAATTGGTATTAATAAATGATACAGTGTAGACATGCTTGGCATGAAAGTTTTACCATATAGGTGGCAATTTTTTAAGAACCGGTATAATTTTAATACCACGCAGTAGCAGTTTTAATACCGAGAAATCAATACCTGCCTGACCATACTTGATTTCTAAGCTCTGTACAAATTATTTTCATGAGTATGAATAACATTTGAGACATTTAAATACACCACAATTTGTAAACTTTCCCAAATTACAAAGTTATACGTGTATTACTTAATAATAAAAATGTAATGTCACACTAATCAGAGACCTACACTTTGTGGTATCAAATTTTCGATTATTTAATCAATCATTGCCATTTTATCGCAGTACGAACTCTTCTTGGAGCCCCATTTTGGATACGGGATTGGAACCGTGGGAAACTTTTATGTCGTCGTGCTCGGCCTACTTTCCACTTTTGTGGGAGCCTTGTTCTGCCTCTACCAATATCAAGAGGGCGTGTGGACCATTTAGAATTAATTATCAACGTTGGGACTTGCGCTGCTTCGTGTTTCTCGTGAACTTATAAACTTGAAAGTTGATGATGGTTGTTAAAATAACAACGTGACGCAATATTTACAACCAAAGAAACGAGTTATGCAAAAAATCGAAAAACACATCAACACTCTTAAAAATAATATACCCTTTTTGAAAAACAAATGCACTCTGAATTCTAAATTAAGTTAACTATATTAAATCCAGAGTAAACTTGACCCTGGATTTAGTATACTTTACTTAACATACAATTTTGAGTGCATTTATTTAATTCTCAAAAGGGTAACATTATTTTTAAGAGTGTACCCACGCAAGCTCTCTATTACATACTTTATCACTCAACGTAGCGTATCAGCAATTGCTGTGTTATCAGAAAAGACAAATTTGCCCTTATCCATGTCGTATTACCTGCATATTTACTTGAAACATACTCATCATCTACATATTTACTATGTAGCTATTTAGATATTTAGCACACTGTAAATAATGTGGTGACAAAATACGCACAATTTTAAGAATTTATGTAAATGAATGTCCAACACCGATGAAAAAAATTTCAGGAAGAAAGGATACATATTACCATTTGGTAACAAGCTATGTACTATCAATTCAGTGGAGCTGAATAAATACAGTAATAAATTTGTAACCACAATATTTACAGTGTAGAAAATTACATGTGCATGAACTCAAAGTAATAAACATGATAATAAATTTGAAATTTATGTAGGGAACAAAAAGTTTAAGGAGATTTAGAATTCCAAAACACTCAAACTTGATTAAATATATACCACGCAACAATATCATTTGGTTAAAATATGTACATAAAGCTGTTCAATTCGTTAAATATTTAATTAGTTAGTTAACCGTTTAAATTGCTCATCCACAATAAATACTTAAATTAGTTTGTAATTCATTAAATTGTTAATACTTAAAATTAGTTTGAAGAAAATTATTAGCAGAATTGTTAGAATTATTAGTGTAATAATAAGTAGAAATTTAAAAGAAATTGAAGTTAATTAAATTAAATTTTAATTAGATTTCAAAAGTATAATTTTTTGACCACATAAATATACATAAACTAACCAGTCTTCCCATAAATATGGTTCACATTAGACTGTCCTTGACGATATGTTTTAAATACTAACACAAAAAAAGTATTCATTAGATGATGCAAAAGTGCAATTATGAAGTAAATAAACTATGTAAACCTCTTGCATTACGTATACATTAATCTGTGTCTAATTATAATCTGTATTGTCCTCGCAATTGGCCTTAGAATTTTAACTTTACAGATATGTATTTACATGTAATTATGTCGTCACCTAAGTTAACCTGAATAAACGAGAAATATTTGATGTCGAAACAAAAATTCAAAAAAATCATTTAAATTTGTTTTATTCTTACGAATATTCTCCTTTATCTTTTTTGACACATTTGGTTATATTTTTATTACATGTTTTTAATCGGTGTGTAAAAAGTATTCCGAGCCCGAGCCCAATTGGTGGTATAATTTTCTCCGTAGTACGTTCTCCCAACGGTAATCAAATCCTGTATGGATTTAGCATTTGTCTCCCTTCTATAAACACTATTAGTTCTTAACTTCGGCAGAATAACCCTTTTAAGGTTATCTTCATTCATTCTGTCTTGTTTGGTCAGCAGATTGTACATATTTGGAGCCGGGACGTTAATCAACATGGTCAGAATTCGGTACAGGTAAAGCTCCAAAGTCCAGGAGGGTTGATGAAGTCGAGTTCCCTGTGGAGAAAAATATATGCAATTACACTCTTAGAAATCCAGTAGTAAAATAATACCAAAAAGTATTTATACATATATACGTGAATCTATAAAAGCGATATTTATACATAAGTAAAACCATGCAGTAATAGCTCAGTGTTAGAGTTTTACTATAAAAATCCACTTCTAGTATTTTTTTAAATTAAAACTTTACAGGAGGTTGTTAATATTTGTAACATATATTTGTAGGTACTTATGGATTCCAAAAACTGGAAAAAACTGAATAAATATCGTACTCACCGCCATAAAATTCTCAATCGTAATTTTAGCCCTTAGACTAATATTAAAAAATCCCGGGACGACATATCCTTTCCACACATTCCTGAAAAATTCCTTCGCGGAAAACAAATCCTCTTGTAAGGCTGCATTGAACTTATCGTCGAGTCCGAACGTGTACCCGATAACACCCGCGAGATGGTTAAACGCCCACAAATCCTCGTCGCAGGCATCAATCCCAAAAACGTCTCCCATCAGGATCGGATATGCGAATGCGTTCAGCATAAAGTATGAGAGCGAGTGTTGATTAAAGTACGGAATCGACATGTTCGGCTCGTTCCCTAAAACGTAGGGCGATCTTTGTTCAGGAGGAATATTCGAAGAGTTTAAGTCTTTTCCGAACGCCTGCCAAGCTCTCTCATTCAATGTTATGTTTGCGTAAGAAGAAGGTTCTACTACGTCCGCTACTTTGGTACGGCGTCGCTTCGCCTCTATATCTCGCGCCACCATGATATGAATCCATCGTATGCGGTTCACACTTTGTAAGAAATCGTTTCCTTCGGCCGATAATGGTTTAGAAGTTTGAACATCTTGATACCATACCTGTTCAAGAAGTGTTCAGAATTCATTCAGTTTACTAGTTTGGAAATAAATATTGAAAAATCGTTCAATTTAAAAATTCCAAAAAAATTATTCATTCATTATTCCTTTATTTAAAATTCGAAAATAAATATATATTCTTTATTTATTGCCTTATTATATGAAATTCTCAATGCACCCCATGTATTAAGCCTAGCGTGAAAAATGAGTATTGAATAAGGAATTCTTCATGAATGTGAAATTAATAAACATTCAGTACTCATTTAAAAATTTTGAAAAGCTCACTCATTATCCATGAATTCGTAATGGACGACCAATGAATGAAAAATGAATGTGAACAGGTAAGTTTGATACCACACATACCATCGCCTTGGCGGCAAATCCCGCCATGTTAAGCGCACTTCCACGTGGAGTGAAACTAATATGTCCGGTAAACATGGCGGCATCAATGACATCGGGGTCATTTATTATGGCGGCTCGACCAATGGCCACGGCAAGACCGATACTGAACCAATTTTCTCGCGCGAAACGTTGTCCTCTCGCCATTAAATCGTAATTTATCCAAGTAGGGAAAGAGATATCGACGCGAGGTGTATTTCCATCGACATACCGACCACTTATGTAATCTTCATATGCCACGCAGCAGGCTGGCAGTTTGCTATAAAATAAGAGAGAAAGAAAGAAATCAAAATTTTAAAAAATATATTATTATAATCTTCTATGCTAATATTTTTTTAATCTGTTATGATCTGCCCACACTCTAAATACATATTTTGGAGACAAATCATCACCTGCGGAGGTACCAGTAATCTATCGCCAACGGGAAAAAACTCCAAAAACTCGTATATGTATGTACAACACATATGGGACGCCTTTATTGAAAAATTGTACATTTTTATTATCTGAATATACTATTTTTTTACAATTTTTAATAAGGACGTGACATGTGTTTGGTACACGAGTTTTTGACTTATTTTCCCTTGGTGATAAAACATTTCCTTAATCATTACCCAGAAATGGATAACCACATAGTACGCCCACTGGTGACAATTTGTCTCCGAATTATTTAGAGTACATTTCTTTCGTAAATATGTCTCAACCTAGTAATTAGATCTGGATTGGTAGTACAGGTAAATTGTGAAACGAGCGACTGACAATTATCTGGAATTGCGCTGGATAAAGCGCATGCAAGCGCTATTAAAAGAAATACAGGGGCACAAATTAAACCCATTTTATTACAGTCATCTATGCACATACTTATAAAGACTGGATCAAATTGTTTGAAAAGCACTCGTTTTGTACGAATCTTTAATTCTGATTACGTGACCAAACTATTTACGTGATATCTAATTTCATTTATGCAACAAGCAAAAATTATGGATAAAATTATTATTCTACTGTGTTTACAGCAGTATTTATCGACATATTCTAGGGAGTCATTGGGATTGAGACAATTATGTATGTAAGTACATGATTTATTCTTAAACATGTGTAACACTGCGTTTTCTCGGTAAAATCTATTAAAAATTGAATAAGTGGAGTAAGTATGTACGTGATTAGATAGATATCTACATTAAATATTTATGTAATATCAGTCAATAATCATCTCAATACAATTTATGTAAGTTGTGTCACTCATAAATACATATTTATTCACACTTCCGTCTTTTTGGTTGTATAAGTTGTCAATACCGCTTATATAACAAGTAAGTAATATGTATGTATGTACGAAATCATAAATTTGATTGTCACACAATCTCATCACACATCGTGTTAAATGTTTGAGTAATTCAATATTCGTTGATGTACGATTAGAAAAACTTCTTAATCATCTTAAATTTCATAATGACGCGTGTCTTTCTGAAAATAATTATTTTTCTTACTGCAACGATAGTCACAGTGGTTGTGGGGTCCCAAACGTGTCCAGGGGTGTCACCGAAGAACTGTTCCAAGCACGTGATAATGTCTCCTTGTCCCAGGTTATACATACATATTTATTGAGGGTATTTACAATTGTCTTGGTATCCTCAGTATCGTAAAATAGTTTACGAAGGAAAAAATTAGGAGTCAAACTTCGTAAAAATTGTAACCTTAGTAACGCGATTTTTGATAATAAAATCAAAGTCTCGTAACTTATTTTTCGATACGAAGAATACTAAGCATTCGAAGGGAGAATGAATATTCGCAGATATAAAGGCCTCGCATTAATTAATTAATGGGATACACAAAGCAAATTATCCTCTTTGGTTTGGCACCTAATTTGCATAAATCTCACTATGCTCATTTTTGACGATACGCGATCATGCTGAATAAATTCCATATCTCTCACGAATGCGGCAAAATTTGCAAATGAGGTGACTAGCACAAATAATTCCACTTTACATACGTATTTTTAGCACTATTCCTACCTGTTCTGTACCATACGAAGACCTCCTCTCGGCCCGCTTGGAAGACGGTAACACGCCCCGGGTGGACTTATCGTTCCCATCCTGGATTAATTTCCCCCTCATGCGACAAGGTCAACGTTTCGCGAAAAACAATTGGTTCAGCTTTTCACTCGCGGCTGCCCTGGGAAGAGCGGCAAACATGAATAATGCAGATATCAGGGATGTCGCAATGTTCACGAAAACTATGTCCAATTCTCCGATAGGCTGTGCCCATATTTTGGCTTCGTTCGGGGCTAAAGCTATGGTAATAATTTCTTTAAATGCACATTCATCTATTTATTTTATTTTATATAGAATGGACAAATTATTCATTTATTATTCATCAAATTCATGACTAATGAGTGAATAATTGTTTCGAAATTTTTGAATGAACAAGTATTAGATAAATATTTATTCATTTCATATTCATGAAAAATGAATGAATAATTGTATTTATTACTCATTTTCCACCTTCTGCTTAAAATCAAACGTTACATATTTACATTGATAAATCCATCTATACTTAATAAGGCGAATTTGACTTAAAGAAATGAATATTGAATGAATATTTATTTTTCATGAATAATTCATAAATAATATTTTTAAACTGCAAGGATTTTAATTGAAGAAGCATTAATTGAACGGGTTAATGTCCATAAATAATTATTTGCTAAACTTTAAACAACTTTTACAGACTTGGTTTGACGACTTGCAACCATCCACTCAACCCGTTAACCCCGAAAAATCCGACTTTCTTCAAAGTGTCAATCGCATCAGGTGGATTCACGTCAAGGTTGCCCGAGACATTGTCGCGACACAACGCATAACTGGAAATAATCATATCGTTAACGATTCAAATTATGAAGATGTCAAAGTTAATGACGTTGTTTGGACCGCATTTCACCAGGATTTAACAGCCTCGAATATTCCCGCAGAACAAAGAGAACCAATCCCGCCAATATTATTTGAAGGGAACGATTCCATCCCATTCTTTAATCAGCATTCACTCGCATTTTTTCAGTTTAACGCGTTCGCTTATCCAATCATAATGGGGGAACGGTTCGGTATTAAAGCTACTGACCAAGACCTTTGGGCGTTTAATCATCTTTCCGCCGTAATCGGGTATACGTTTGGGCTTGACGATAAATTCAACTTGGCGTTACAACCAGAATTCGAATCACTGAAGGAATATTATTGGAAGTTTTTTAACAGAACGATCCTACCAAGTTTGTTCAAGATTAATAAACGGACGAAGGTTACGATTGAAAATATTCTCGAGGTATGAATCTCATTGCATTGCAAACTTATTACCGTATGTACAAGGTGGTCAAAAAATAAGGGAAGAAATTAAAAAAATAAGTCAAAGATTAGCTTACAAATCATGAAATCGAGGGTATTCATGATTCCTTCGAAAACCTTAATATTCTTAGCGTAGTATATTTTTGTCACCAAAAACAGTGATACTTATGTTACGATTTTTACAAAGCTTGACACTTTCTCTTTCTTCGTGCACGATTTTACGATACTAAGGATACCAAGATAATAGTTTATTAATTATTTGCATTTTTAAAACCTATTCTTTGGACGATTTGTTGAAAGAATTGTACTTATTTAGGAAAAAAATGGTAATTTGTTGGCTCGCAGTTTAATGAATTTTGGGTAAAAATGGGTTCCCTTATTGCTACTAAATTTTTTGACCACCCTTTACACAAATATTTATATACATATTTATTATAAAATTTTATTGACTCGCTTTAAGGGCACCAGAATAAACACGCCAGCCTGGACCCTTCAGCTTTACCTGTATCGCGTCGCCACCATGCTAGCCAATGTCCCTGCACCCTCTCTTGCCTCACTGTTCACCGACCAGGATAAATTTCATGACAACAATCTGAGAAACAACGTTTTACCAAATCTTTTGAAAAGTGCAACATTCAGAACACAGACAAACATGAAAGCTATTAATGACCTTATGAAAATCGGGGCAAAATATTACGGAGCCAATTATTCGACACAGTATCGTAGGGCGAGGTACGCTTTTCTCACACCGATACAAAACGAATAAACGACTAATATTACATTGTCAATTGTAAATTTCGACTTTGTTCTAATTTACATATTGGACTAATTTTACGATTTAAAAAATCGTAAGGAGGCTATTTGGAAAATGAGTTTAGTTTAAAATAAATAATATGTAGGTGAATGGATTTCCACAGAACTGGAAGAATTCTCACATATGTATACATACAGTAGTATTGTTTGTGCGTGTCACCTCATTTGCATAAATCACACTATGCCCACCTTCCATGTTGAAGAATTTCTATCTCTCGTTAATGCGGCAAAATATGTAAATTATTTAAGTGACTATTAATTCCACTGCATGGATTTCTCACGCATTTTTCATGGAACATTTTTGACAACTGTCATAGAACAGGAAATTTGTTGTTTACATGATTTACAGTATTACGGTAGCCACGTAAGGTTGGGCAGGCCACCCGACAAATTTAGGGTGCATGGTTTGTATTTCCGTGAGATGAGACATGGTGGGGTGACGTGAGGTGAGCGCGAAGGCCTCACAACACTTCACCATGTCTCATCTTACGGAAATAAAAACCATGCACCGTAAATTTGTCGGGTGGCCTGCCCAACCTTACGTGGCTACCGTAATATTTCCATAATGGTTCAAATTGGTTAAAATCAATTCCATGTAACAACTGATAATGTGGATATTAATAATTGGAAGTGTTAACACTTACAGATTTATGTATCTAATTAAGTAATGGAATACCCATCACACCATCCTTCACACAAACAGGATCCCGTCACTCAACCTTATCAACAATTTTGCAACGTTACGTTATCGTAACACTTGGACGTGGATGTGACGTGTGCCAATCATCCTTAATAAATGCATAAGCAAAGTGAAGCTTTTCCACAGATGAAAACTAAGTACGCCAGATAATTGTACATACATACATTCTTATGTGCAGTAACACTAAAAACATCATTTTAAAATATTATTTTGCATTACAAATACATAATCATGTCGAGAATTGTGTATCGTTGTTTGACAGCAGTATTATTAATCTCCTGTGTAAATTCTGCTGGTAAGTTGTCAAACATTTAAAAAATTTAATTTTAATTTTAATTCAAAATATGCACATATTTAACAAAATGCATTATCAATGTCAGAGTTGGACCAGCTGAACACAGCGGTGGCAGAATTTGCGCATAATGCGTTACAAAGCTTGGTCGGAGTTGCGGATCCATTTCCTCCACAACCACTTCCCGGTTCAATCTCGTACTATTCGGGCAGAGGTTTAATGCCGCTGACCGGAAGTCTAAGGTAACACAAACCAACGGTGCAGGTGTCAACTAGATCTATTTATGTATCTTCAATCAAGCGAATAGTCGGGGTTACACTTTCGAAAATTTGAAAAAAGCTATTTAAATCTTTAAGTTTGTGAAATGGAGCGCTTTGCAAAATTTTGGCTTCATCGATTACCTAAATTTTGAACAAATCCCTTGAAATTTGCCACTATGCTAAATTTGTCTAACTTTCTTTTTTATCAAGAAAAATTTCTTACGAAAAAAATGATGAAATTAGTATCGATTATTTAACAGCCAAATGCAAGTCTCCGGACTGACGAGTGTGCAAAATATTTCGGTCACTGCGGACTTTCGCGCACCCGGATCTCCTACCGAGCCGAATATGAAGATAAACATTGACGTCGTGAGTCCCGTAATTCAAGGCGTTTACAGTCTCAACGGTCACATCGGGAATAGTATTGTGTTAAGCGGGACCGGAAACTGGACGATCGTTCCGTCCGCTTTGTACCCCTTAAGGGTCGGTTGTCCACTCAAGTTGACAACGCAAGGTGGATATCTCTCCCTTGGGAACTGTACGGAGAGTTCCGGATACATGAGTTTGTCTGGAGCAGTGGCAGATTTCTCCGGTGTCGTGAACGACACCAGGGTCGATACCTTCCTCGAAGAAGATATTTACCGAACCCTGGCAAATCGGGCAAATAGCAACGGGATAGGTTACTCCGTTGTGGCGGCAGTACTTAAAAGTGCCGTTGCCTACTTGCAGGACGAATTTAATGTATGTTCCGTACTAAATTATGTATCAGCTGACCAATTGTAATGAACAGCTGGTAAATCAGCTGATCACGCACGTTCAATTAGCTGATTCAATTTGTTTGTACCTATTGAACTGAAGTACTTTGTTCTATTAAATTAGAAAATCAAGCTTGTCGATATTGTCGACCAGATGGGGGCGGCACCAAGAAAACGTGTAGAAACCGGGAGTAATTCTAAATTATCTGATCAAATTTCAATTCAACCATCGATCACACAGATGCAGGCACGAATGGACCAATTTGCGAGAGACGTAATTCTCAATTTTGCAAGCACAACGCCAGATCCATACATGTACCCGTACTCTCATTCGCTATCAATTGCTACACCGATGCTTCGAATGAATGGAACCTTATCGTTAGTCAATTAAACGACATTACACTCTAAAAAATAAAGTTACCCTTTTGAAAAGTAAATGCACTCTATTAAGTAAACTATGTATACTAAATTCAGAGTAGCATTGTCTTGATAAATAAATAGAAAAGCTTATTCTAGATTTTGTACGTAGGTTTCATTAATATAGAATTAACAATGCATTATCTTTCCAAAAATGTTACATTATTTTTAAGAGTGTAGTCGATGTTCAAAATTTTGACTTTTCTTCGCAAAATTTAAATTTCCCAACTTTCAGTTCAATCGGATTCTCCGGCCTGGCTCGAGACCTCCGTCTGAACGTTTCATCCTCCCCAGTTGCCGAACCTTACGCAAGCGTCCACGTTTCCATGCAAATTTATGACGCCGAATTAACCGGGAGATACAACCTGGAAGGCTTACTCGCCGGAGAAACCCCCTTCGCAGCTGAGGGACCTTGGTCCATCCAAAATATTACAGTGTTCCAATACCTTTTCGACCCAAGAATGGAACTAGCAGATGGCTACCTTGTCCAGAGATCCACCTTAATGAGCGGATTTAGAATGCAGCAATTCGGTTTTGACGCATCCTTTCCAGGTCTTCTTGATTCCACCGGAGTTTCAGAATCCGTTCGAAAAGCGACTTCAGAACTAATCGGGCAGCAAATAATCAAATCATTGTATAACAATGGTGAACTGGCCAGTAGGATGCAGGGTCTAGTGGCGGACGAGATTTTTCGAAGATTCGGGGTATTTTAAAATTTTAAAATCAACACATGCTTCAATTATCTAACATTACTTGTGATATCTTTATTACAGGAAATCCCAGCGGTTGACATAATTTTGGGACGAGTTACACGCATGCATGCATAATTTTGTGCAAAAATAAAGACCTCAGATGAATAAATAAGTAGGCATTGTTGACAACAATTTTGGCTAAATATTTATTACTAGCGTATAAGCCCGTCTCCCGCCGGGCGAGCGAAAATAAGAGCTGGAAATAAAGGGTGTTAATAAAGTCCGATCCCATGAATTTTTTGGAGCGCGGTTGTTACAAATTCAGCTGGAACTTTTGAACCAGTGAAGTTATTTATTTCAAATTTTTACCATGGGAGGAACAACTAAACGTGTAAGTCATGAGCATCTTAGAGTTAAGATACAAACATTGCATCAGCAGGGGTTTAAACCTGCAGAAATTGTGCAAAAATTGGGCTGCAGCCGCAGAACTGTTTGGAAATGGAAGAACAAAAATTTTGTCCACGACAAAAAGCGACCCGGGCGACCCAGAAAGGTGTCACCTACCACAAAGAGAATGATTAAAAACAGACTTTACAAGAAAACCGGTAGTTCATTACGTAATTGTGCAAGGGAGTTAAATGACTCAAAACGCTATAAAGAGAAGAAGAAGCAAATTAACTATGTGACCGTGCAAAAATTTGTGAAATCTACGAGGTGGGGTCACACAGCTTACAAACTAACCAAAAAACCTCTCATGTCACAAAAAAATATCGATGACCGTCTGAAATTTGGAGAACTCCTTCAGAAAAGTGGCCATTTGAGTGAAAAAAGACTTGGTGAAGAATTGCGCAGTCACATCCTTTGGACTGACGAATCTATTATTGAGCTATATCCAAAATTGAACCAACAAAATGTTCGTTACAGGACAGAAAACAAATCGGATGTACCATCAAGAGCAGTCCCAAAATTCGGGCTTAAAGTTATGGTAGCGGGTGGATTTTGTGCACGTGGCGTGACTCCTCTACATATCATACCAAAAGGCCAAACAGTCAATGCAAAGTATTATATGGAAAAAATATTACCTATCTATTTCGATAGCATGGGGAACAAGGAAATATTTCCGAATGAAAGAAAAATAGTTTTCATGCAGGATGGTGCTACAGCCCATACAGCAAAAGCGAGTTTGAGTCTCATCAAGACGCAAGTTTCAACGGTCTGGAGCAAGGGGGTGTGGCCCGGAAACAGCCCAGATTTGAATCCCCTGGAGAACCTGTGGTCCATACTTAAGGAAAATGTATACAAAGAACCACAACCCCGGACGAGGGAAGAGCTAGTAAAAAAAGTTCAAGATGTATGGAATTCGATTCCCACAGACACATTGGAAAAATTAGCAGAGCCTTAAACAAAGAGTTGAGGGCATGGTTAAAGTAAATGGTAACAAGACCAAATACTAAGGTAAATATGTCGAACATTTTTTGTAAGTATCACGGGTAGTTTTTTTTATACTAGCCTTCACTTTTTTATAGGAAAAATGGGATCGGACTTTATTAACACCCTTTATCTGTCGGCAACGGAAGTAAAAGATAAGTGGTGGAGTGACATTTCTGTGTGCTCGTGTCTGACTCCCACTCCGCTTCCACTCCACTCCGCAGTGCAGTGACAATTTTTGTGTACTCATGTCTGACTCCCACTCCATTTCCACTCCACTCCGAAGTGGAGTGACAAATTCCGAGTACTCCTGTCTGACTCCCACTCCACTCCGCAGTGGAGTGACAAACTCGTACATAATTGCTGATTGTAGAAGTGACGAAACTCTGGATCCATGAACTCACTTCCACTTCACTTCCACTTCACTTCCACAGAAGTGACAAAACCCTGCGTCGCAGAGATGAACTCACTTCCACTCCACTTCCACAAAAGCGACAAAATTCTGGATCCATGAACTTACTTCCACTTCACTTCCACAGAAGTGACAAAATTCTGGATCCATGAACTCACTTCTACTTCAATTCCACTTCACTTCCACAGAAGTGACAAAATTCTGGATCCATGAACTCACTTCCACTTCACTTCCGCAGAAGTGACAAAACTCTGGATCCATGAACTCACTTCCACTTCACTTCCACTTCACTTCCACAGAAGTGACGAAACTCTGGATCCATGAACTCACTTCCACTTCACTTCCACAGAAGTGACAAAACCCTGCGTCGCAGAGATGAACTCACTTCCACTCCACTTCCACAAAAGCGACAAAATTCTGGATCCATGAACTTACTTCCACTTCACTTCCACAGAAGTGACAAAATTCTGGATCCATGAACTCACTTCCACTTCACTTCCGCAGAAGTGACAAAACTCTGGATCCATGAACTCACTTCCACTTCACTTCCACTTCACTTCCACAGAAGTGACAAAATTCTGGATCCATGAACTCACTTCCACTTCACTTCCACAGAAGGGACGAAACTCTGAATCTAACTAATTTCCACTTCACTTCGCAGTGAAATAACCATACGTCGGATATGAATGAAAAATGACTTTTTCCATTTATTGACCTACAGTCGCCAAACTTTCTGAGAATGTTTATGGTCACTAGTAGGTCACGTAGGTCAAAGCATATTTTCTCATATTGGTCATATTTTCGGGTTTTGGGACATATTCATATTCCCGATCATATTTCGGGGTTTTTTTGTTCATTTTATCATTTTTAGCCAAATTCTAAGATTTGGCAACCAAATCGACAGAAAATGACAAAAAATTCAGTTTTCTCACAATGATTCACTGTGAGAAACTTTCAGAAATTTACGTTCACTTTCGCCTCAGGTGATTTAATTCATTGGGAATGCATTATATCACTCCAGAACTTGTTGACTTTATAAAAAATGGGCATTACAAGAAAATATATCAAAAAATTAAGCCAAAAATTTGAAAAATAAAGTAATGTTTATGGTCATATTTTGGGGATTTTTACGGTCATTTCTCATTCATATTTTGAGGTTTTACCGGTCATTCATATCCGACGTCTGGAAATAACCAGCCGGCATAGCTACTATTAGACAACCACTCCTAGATAAGCACCATCAGACAACCACTCCCAGATAAGCACCATCAGACAACCACTCCCAGATAAGCACCATCAGGCAACCACTCCTAGATAAGCACCATCAGACAACCACTCCCAGATAAGCACGATCAAACATCTACTCCCAGATAAGCATCATCAGATAACCACTCCCAGGTAAGCACCTTCAGACAACCACTCCCAGATAAGCACCATCAGACAACCACTCCCAGATAAGTACCATCAGGCCACCACTCCTAGATAAGCACCATCAGACAACCACTCCCAGATAAGCACGATCAAACATCTACTCCCAGATAAGCACCATCAGACAACCACTCCCAGATAAGCACCATCAGGAAACCACTCCTAGATAAGCACCATGAGACAACCACTCCCAGATAAGCACCATCAGACAACCACTCCCAGATAAGCACCATCAGGCAACCACTCCTAGATATGCACCATCAGACAACCACTCCCAGATAAGCACTATCAGATAACCACTCCCAGATAAGCACCATCAGACAACCACTCCCAGATAAGTACCATCAGACAACCACTCCCAGATTAGCACCATCAGACAACCACTCCCAGATAAGCACCATCAGACAACCACTCCCAGATAAGCACCATCAGACAACCACTCCCAGATAAGCACCATCAGGCAACCACTCCCAGATAAGCACCATCAGACAACCACTCCCAGATAAGTACCATCAGACAACCACTCCCAGATAAGCACCATCAGGCAACCACTCCCAGATTAGCACCATCAGACAACCACTCCCAGATAAGCACCATCAGACAACCACTCCCAGATAAGCACCATCAGACAACCACTCCCAGATAAGCACCATCAGGCAACCACTCCTAGATAAGCACTATCAGATAACCACTCCCAGATAAGCACCATCAGACAACCACTCCCAGATAAGCACCATCACACAACCACTCCCAGATTAGCACCATCAGACAACCACTCCCAGATAAGCACCATCAGGCAACCACTCCCAGATAAGCACCATCAGACAACCACTCCTACATAAGCACCATCAGACAACCACTTCTAGACAACCACCACAATTTTGAATTTAATTTTATTTATTTTGAATTTTTGCGCCATTCGAAACTTCAGTTTCTCTGCTTTCACTTCCGTTGCGGAACATTTACTTTCACTTCCGTTGCCAACAGACATTTCCAGCTTATAATGTAGATCGTTAATGCAGTGGGGAACATCCATAAACTACGTCATTAAAAAGTTAGAAAGGTCGTGTTGGTTTGCCTGTTTTTATTTTTGTTAAGCTTAGGATTAGCATGATTAGAGGGGGCAGGGGTGGCGGGGTGTTCTAAAAATCGACGTTTTTTTAACGAAATATATGATAACGTGTACATAATGCTAAATATTTCCGATTTACAAATATATATTTTTCCTCTCTCTCTACGCGTGATACCTCATATAATACTTTTCCTCTTCAGAAAAGTAAAGGCCTGATCTATCCTCGATTAATTTAATGAGACTTTTATCAACAGAAATGTAGTACTCACTCGTAGTCATGAAAGTATTAACTTTATCTGAATATGGAAGTGCCATGAGTTCTGGCGAAAATGACTTTCCAGGGACATAATTCTCCATAAAATTAAAAAATTTCTCTCTATTTTCATCCGTAAAAAATATGTATGCAATTGGATCCAACATAATGCACTTTTTCAAATTGAATTCAGTACTTGCATGTTTGTCAAATATTTTTATCATGTCATTAATCGAGACTAATCTTTTTTTACTGGGATTAGAATCTAGGGCAAGATCAATCCTGGTGATATCCTGGCTGGTAATATTTTTACCGGTAGCATCATATAAAAAGATCCACTCAATCTCTCTAAATTTCAAGGTATCATGTGACATTTTACGAAGCAATGAAAACAGCCACGCGAATCGTTCCAATCCATGCGCATAAATTCGCGATAAACGAAACTCAAGACATTTTACTATTTCCATGAAATCCAGATCACAACTGTTCACCGTGTTTACTAAAAAATCTTCCAAATACGAGCAGGTTCTGTTATCACGTTTCTTCCACTCAGATGAACTGTGGAATTTCAGATAATCTTCTAATCTCCCCTCGTCA